CGGGGTGCAGGCGCGGGGCGCAGGGTGCAAGCGGGTGCAGGTGCGGGGTGCAGGCAGGTGCGGGGCACAGGCAGGTGCGGGGTGCAGGGCGCGGGGTGCAGGGTGCAGGCGGGTGCAGGTGCGGGTGCAGGCAGGTGAGGGCTTGGGCGTGGGCCGGGGCGGGTGGGCACCAGGTAGGAGCGGCCTCATTCTGGTTGCACTGCTTGCTCCGAGCAGGACCTGGAGCAGAAAATGAAAGTGGTGGAGAATCTGCAGGATGACTTCGACTTCAACTACAAAACACTCAAGAGCCAGGGAGGCAAGTGGCCACGGTGGAGCGCCAGCCCTGAGATGGGCTTTCTCTTTGCTTAGACTTTGAGGGGTGCAGCGCTCAGTGGGGCCTTTGCTTTGCTCTTTGCTTTGTTTTGGTTTTTGAGACAGGGTCTCCTGTGTAACATTGCTGGCCTTGAACTTGGGGTGACCCCCTTGCCTCAGCCCCTGAGAGCTGGGGTCCTGCCTGTGGCTGGCGGCAGGGCACTGGGGCTCAGTGGGGTGTCGTCTCCTGGCAGATGTGCAGGACCTGAATGGCAATAGCCAGGCCGCCACACGGCAGAAGATGCAGCAGCTGGAGCAGATGCTGACGGCGCTGGACCAGATGCGCAGGGTGCGCCCTGGTGGGTCGGGGGCGGCGCAGGGTGCTGGCTAGAGACCGCACTGACTCGCCCACCGCTGGATTTCCCAGAGCATCGTGAGTGAGCTGGCAGGGCTGCTGTCGGCCATGGAGTACGTACAGAAGACGCTCACGGATGAGGAGCTGGCTGATTGGAAGCGGCGGCAGCAGATCGCGTGCATCGGGGGGCCCCCCAACATCTGCCTGGACCGCCTGGAAAACTGGTGAGGCGCACTGGGCCAACCCATCTCAGCAGGTGCCTTCTGGTGTTTGGGGATGGGGTGACCTTCAATCTGCTCCCAGGGTCCTCTGACCTATCCCTCTGTGCAGGGCTTGGCGCCATTTTTCTGGGCAGCCCCTCCTAGCGACTCAAAATCTTGAGAGAGATCAAAAACAAAAAGGAGGGCCGTGGAGATAGCTCAGTGGCATAAGCTCCTGCCTGGCAAGCACAAGGTCCTGAGTTCAATTCCGGGACCAAAAGAAAAAAGCTTGAAAGGCAAAGTAAACACCTTTTGTAGCCCAGTACTGCCTTCTGCACCCCATGCGCTGAGAGGGTTCAAGTGATGCTGCGCGTGCAGCTGGTGTCTCAGTTACTCTTTTCTCGTTGCCGGGACAAAATTCCTGACACCCAAAATTAAAGAAGGAGAGGTTTATTTAGCTCACAGCTTGTGGACGTTTTAGTCCGTATTTGGCTGGCTCCGTGGGAGGGTGGCACGTGACAGCCGGCAGCCATTCAAGGTGGCAGGAAGCAGCAGAGAACAGGGAGGGCAGCAGCTGCTGTAGCTGGCCAGCCTCTCCCTCCTCACATCGTGGTGCAGATCGTCCACCCAGGGCGGGCGCGCACCCAGACCCAGCATCCCAGCCTGGGGTCGTTAATCAGTCACAGACTGTGGAGGCTGCCTCGTCGCTGCCCGAGGCTCTGTGGGGCAGCGAGCCACGGACATAACGCCAGCAGAACAAAGCCCCGTGCGCTTTCCGGGGCGCCAGCGGGATCCACTCCTGCACACAGCTGCCAGCTGAGCGGCCAGTGTGTCCTGCAGGATAACCTCGCTGGCAGAGTCGCAGCTGCAGACCCGGCAGCAGATAAAGAAGCTGGAGGAGCTGCAGCAGAAGGTGTCCTACAAGGGCGACCCCATCGTGCAGCACCGGCCCATGCTGGAGGAGAGGATCGTGGAGCTGTTCAGAAACTTAATGAAGAGGTGCCCGAGCGCTCCCCGGCCCGCGCGTTCAGTTACAGTGTGGGGTTCGGTCCTCTTGAGGCGGGGTCTCGCTGGGCACCCAGGCTGGCCTCAGCCCCTGGGCGTCCTCCTGCCTTGGCCTCTTGAGAGCTGGGGTCACAAGTGTGCACCAGGATGCACAGGTTCCTGTGCCTCACTTGAAAAAGGAGAGATGCTGCCCTGAAGCAAGAGGCTGGCTCATGGGGACGGGGTGGGGGCGACCCAGTGACGCGCTGTCCCCGCAGTGCCTTCGTGGTGGAGCGGCAGCCCTGCATGCCCATGCACCCCGACCGGCCCCTGGTCATCAAGACCGGCGTGCAGTTCACCACCAAAGTCAGGTGGGCCCATGCCGCACTCGGCGTTTCTCTGGGGACACTCGGGGATGGTGTAGGGCACCTTCCTTGGTTTTGGAGCTGAGACTTTGCTCTGTGGCCCCGGCCTGACTTTGAGCTCTGGCTCTGGGGAGTGACCCCAAAGAGCTAGGACCCCCAGTGTGGCCATGACCTTGGCTCTGGCTGCTCTGTGACGCTCCCTCATGTCCAAGCTGAGTGGAGCTTAGAGGCGGGGAGCGGGACCCAGTGGGAGCAAAGCCTCTGTTTTCTGCTGCCAGCCACAGAAAGCCCCTGAGAGAGGGGCATCAGGCTCCTCACCTGTCCTCTGGTCGGGCAGGAGAGGAGCCTCAGAGCTGTGGAGCCGCCCCCAGTGGAGGTCTCTAAGCCATGGGTCCCTAAGCCGTGGGGGTCCCTAGGCCGTGGGGTCCCTAGGCCGTGGGGTCCCTAGGCGGCTTTGCTCGTCTCGGGCTGTTGCAGCCTCACACCCGCGGCAGGGCCTTCTCGGGTCTTCAGCCCTGCAGGGCTGCAAAAGCTGCGCTGCGCTGGCCGAGCCGGCTGTGGCCGTGGCAGGGTCTGGGGTCGGGCATCTGGGCTGGGTGTGCTCCTGCACCCTGAGCTGGGTTTTCTTACCTTTCCCAGGCTGCTGGTCAAGTTCCCGGAGTTAAATTATCAGCTAAAAATTAAAGTGTGCATCGACAAGTAAGTGTCCCCTGGTAGAAAGGCTGTGTTTCACAGACAAGGGGTAAGGGACGGGGCCAGCAGGCACCCTTCGGCCTCTGGGGCTGGCTCCTCTTGGGGGCCGTGTCTCGGGCGTGGACTGCAGGTGTGCTTGTCCTGGCAGCCCTCCCTTTGTCTCTAGCTTTCTTTACTGATTTTTTTTTTTTTTAACTTGTAAACACCATTTATGCAGATGACCCACAGTGGGGGTCAGAAAAGGGTGGAGCCGTGTGGTTCCAGGCCTGGGCTGTAGCTTGGGGGGCAGAGCGCAAGTCCTGGGTTCCAATCCCAGCGCACCAGGGCAAGAGGCGCGCTGTGTCCGGGCACTTAGCGGTTGCTGCTGCTGTGTACTGCTCAGTTCAGGATGTGCACAGCCTTTGGGGAAGTAGGGAAACACCATGCGGCCGCCCCAGGGGACGCAAAGGCCCCGATGTCCCCATGTCCTGAGTGCGGAGTGAGTCTTAATGAAGTCGAGGGAGTTGGTGGAGCTGGTGGATTTACAGATCAGTAGGAGAGACTTGGGAGGCGAGGCAGGAGGGTCCTGGGAGCTGGAGGCCACCTGGACTGCATGCTGAGACTGTGCCTCAAAAAGAGAAGGATCCGTAACCTTAGTTACGCGTTAGCTAAAAACAGGAAAGAGATTTCATAATGAGCAGCAGAAATAAAAAAACTATTGTGCTAACTTCAATGGCTGCTTTAGGGTCTGTCGGGAGAAGCCTGCGGTTGTGTGGGGAGAAGCAGTTCACAAAGCGATGTAGTATCTCCTGGCCTGCGAAGGGTCACTTCGCTCTGGAGATGTTCAATCTTCAGGATTCTTCAGAATGTATAAAGTGCTTTCCAAGTGTCAGCTTAGCTGAAAAAAAGCAAGGATAGCAAACCAATTTCCCGTTTTGTTTTGTTACTTCTTGTGATCTCACCGTGTAGCCCAGGCTGGCCTTGAGCTCCCTGTGGCCCTCCTGCCTCAGCCTCCCGATACCGGGAGCACAGGCCTGCCCCCCCACCCAGCCAGTGTACTATTAGATTTAAAATGTTGGTGGTAAAGTAAAAGTGCCTCACACACCGTCTGCTGTGGTGCTTGTGTCGGAGTCGGCGGCTCCGGGGCCTTGTGTGTGTGAGCTGTTACACAACAAGTTTCCAGAGCTTTTCGTCTTGCAAAACCGAACCTTTCCTGACCAAAAGACTATTCCTCATTTCCCTTTTCTTGTACAATGTGGCAGCTACCATTGTATTTAAAAAGAAACCAAAAGTTGTTTGTTTTTTTTTTTTGAGTCCTGGGGATTGAACTTGGCCTTGCACGCCAGCCAGTGCTCTGCCTGGACTCTCCTGTCCCTGCTCCTCGAGACAGTGTGTTGCCAGACTGCCCGGGCCAGCCTGTGATCCTCCTGCCTCAGCCTCCTGAATAGGTGGATGACAGCGAGCAGGGGCCTGGCTCCAAAGCTGGTTGGTTTTTTGGGTTTTGGGGACTTTTGGCTGTTTGAGACAGGGTCTCACTGTGCAGTCCACACTGGTTTCAAACTCACGGCAGCCCTCCTGCCTCAGCCTCCCAAGAGCTGGGATAGCAGGTGTGTGCCGTGTGGCCAGCTCAGGCTGCAAAGTGCAGCAGGTGGGACGCCGCCCTCAGAATGACTTCGGATCATTAGTTTTCCTCCGTGAAGTCACGTGGAATGCACTACTTAATACTAGCTGCCATCCTAAAAGTGTAGACGCACGAACAGAAGTGGAGAACTTTTCAAAAGGTGCGCAAAATACTACAGAAGGTAAACACCTAGAAATGCGCCGGTACGGGGCCGGCGGGGATAGCTCAGTGGACTGAGCACCTGCGTAGGCAAGCACAGGGACCAGGGTTTGAGATCCACTCCCCCAGGGGCACTGGGCCGGCCAGCAGAGACCAGGCGTGGTGGGCAACCCCAGCACTCAGGAGGCTGAAACAGGAGGGTCACTCCAAGTCCAAGAGTGAGACCCTGTACCAAACACATAAGAAAAAGAACAAGAGAAGAAGCAGCGTGCCTAAATGAGGAGAAAAAAGCCAGGCTGAGAAGAGAGGCCCCTCGGGAAGGATCTTTCCTGCTGTGTCAGGCGAAGGCCTCCAGCTGGGCACAGTGCCTGTCATCTGGCCCTCGGAGGCTGAGGCAGTCCGGGCTCCACAGTGCGGCCCTGGCTCAGAAAGCCAAGAAAGAGTACAGGCGATGACGTTACGGGTTCCCCCGTGCGGTCTCGTGCCCAGCAGCGGTGACACCGCCTGGCTTACTGACCGCGCCTCTCCTCCGCAGGGACTCGGGCGATGTGGCGGCTCTGCGCGGGTAAGTCCTGCTGCGGCTCTGGCGTGGGTGCTGGGAGGCTGGGCTCCGGGTCTGCGCCGCGCAGTCACCCTGGCTGCTGTCCCCACACAGGTCCCGCAAGTTCAACATCCTGGGCACCAACACGAAAGTGATGAACATGGAGGAGTCCAACAACGGCAGCCTCTCGGCCGAATTCAAGCACCTGGTGAGCGCGGGCCCGGCCGTCCTGCCTCTCCGCGGGCCCAGGGCGGCTGGTGACACGCGCTGTCTCTTCTTGCAGACGCTGAGGGAGCAGAGGTGTGGGAACGGGGGCCGCGCCAACTGTGATGTGAGTGCCGCTGGGGCGTGGGGGGCCCGAGGGCGGGGGGCTGCCCACAGAGGTGGGGTGGCCGCCGGGGCGTGGGGGGCCCGAGGGCGGGGGGCTGCCCACAGAGGTGGGGTGGCCGCCGGGGCGTGGGGGGCCCGAGGGCGGGGGGCTGCCCACAGAGGTGGGGTGGCCGCCGGGGCGTGGGGGGCCCGAGGGCGGGGGGCCCGAGGAGGGGGTGGGGGTGGGCGTTGGGGCGGCTGCCCTGCGTCCGGCTGCGGCCAGTGCGAAGTCGCCGAGGGCCGAGGTGCCTGGCTGCCTCGGTCTCTAGGGGCAGGACGCCCTGGGTACAGGCCAGGTGGCTGGTTCCCTGTGGAGCGGCACCTGTGTTCACATGGGACAGCACTGTCCTCACCCAAGGCTTTTCGGGCTGCAGTTTTGTCGAACCCATTTCCTCACTGCAGTGGCAGAGGGTGTTGGTGGAGTAAGTGTGGGTTAACCCTTAGCCCCAGTCCTCGCGCGCACATGGCATATGTGTAATCTCAGCCTTGAGAGGCTGAGGCAGGAGGATCACTAGAGCTCGAGGCCAAACTGGGCTACATAGTGAGACACTGTCTCAGAAACGCAAAGCAAAACAAAAACTTCCTTGTTCTTTCTCCCACATGTATCTGTCATCAGCCAGAGATTCAGATTATTGGTTTCCTAGTGTCAGGAAAGAACTTAAGGGCCAGGGAGATAGCTCAGTAGGGCCCGAGTTCAGTCCCTGGTTCTGCCAAAAAAAAAAAAAAAAAAAAATTTAAAAATCAACGCATGTGACCTCAAAATAGTTTTCAGTCATTTTTAAAAATTTCAGTGCAGGGTATGGGGGCGCAGGCCTGTACTGCAGCCCTCTGGAGGCTGAGGCAGAAGGATCATTGCAAGTTTGAGAGCAGCCTGGGCTACAGAGTGTGCGCGCAAGGCTGGCTGAGCTGCAGAGTGAGACTCTGTCTCAAAAAGTAAATAGATAGCCATTCCCTGGGTGGGGTGCGCCACCCAGCACAGCAGGGCTGACAGAAATCCTTGCGGAAGCGCAGCAGCAAATAACGACCAAAGTCTAGGACCAGAGTCCCAGAAGTCTGACTTGGAGCTCTGGATGCCACCCAGACAGGTCTTACCCACGCTGTATGGAGAACTGGTAGTCCTGCAGAGGAACACTATACAGCCATGAAGAGTAATGCAGAGCAGGAACCCAGTCAGTTACCTGGGCTCATTTCGCAGCGAGACAGGAGCCCCAAGGGGTGAGCTGTGTGAGTCACCAATGCCAGAAAGTAACAAACCCAGAACCATTCAGAGCAACAGCTGTGCAAGTCACTAAGAAAAGCTGGGGGTGACAATCCCCAGAGACAGAGTCACAGGTCACAGGGTGGGGCCGCAGCATGAGGCCCGCCAGGCTTGGTCCCTGGCGCACGGGGCAGAGCAGGGGGACCTGGATGGGCTGCCTGCTTGGGGGCCGCTGTGCTCTCTGAGGACACGCCCGCCCTGCCGCAGGCCTCCCTGATCGTGACCGAGGAGCTGCACCTGATCACCTTCGAGACCGAGGTCTACCACCAGGGCCTCAAGATTGACCTGGAGGTGTGCAGGCGGGCGAGGGGCGGCTGTGGGAGGGTCTCCCCTTGGAGAGGCGGTGGCGACTGCGGGGGCACACCCGTTCCTTTCCCCAAGACATCTGTGGTGCCCCCACCCGGGAACAGCCCCCACATGCCCGAGGTGCCCTTGCAGGTGTTGACAAGGCTGCCTCGTAAGGTTGGGGCAGGACAGCCAGTAGCCGCGGCCTTCAGTGTGTGGAGTCCTGGCCCTGACTGTGGGCCCTCTAGCTTCCGTGCTGGAAATTAACGTAGACTGGAGCGGGGCGTGGCTGCACACGCCTGTCAGCCAGCACCTGGAAGGCTGAGGCAGGAGGGTCCTCATGCGCTCAAGCCTAGCCTGAGGAGACGCACAATGAGACCCCATCTCAGGAAGGAAGGGAGGAAGCCAAGTCTTCAGTGGCTGACCCTGGAGTTTCGGAGCGCACCTCCGGGGTCTCCTGAGGGGGGCGTCAGGCTGGGAGAGCCTTGAGCCAGCACAGTTCCCCTGGGTGTCCTGTGTCCCTGGCCACCAGCCAGGCTAGGACTTGGGCACTGACCTGGACCGTGTGCCTGCAGACCCACTCGCTGCCGGTCGTGGTGATCTCCAACATCTGCCAGATGCCCAACGCCTGGGCATCCATCCTGTGGTACAACATGCTGACCAACAACCCCAAGGTGAGGCTGTGCCCGCCGCACCCACCCCATGCCCGTCTGCCTGGCGCCGCAGCTCCACCCACTCTCCCTCCCTGCTGCAGAACGTGAACTTCTTCACCAAGCCCCCGATCGGGACCTGGGACCAGGTGGCCGAGGTGCTGAGCTGGCAGTTCTCCTCCACCACCAAGCGCGGCCTGAGCATCGAGCAGCTGACCACGCTGGCCGAGAAGCTCCTAGGTGACAGCGGCCTTGCCACTGCGCCTCCCCGCCCTCCTCGGCCCTGGCGGCCCGCTGCGCTTAGGACTCTAGAATGTGCGGCAGTCCTCCTGCCTCAGCCTCTAGGGCCTGTCAAGGCTCCGCTCTGTGCCTCACTTAGTCTAATAATAGCCTTAAAAAAAACAAAAAGCAAGCCAGGTGTGGTTCATGAAGAAAGCCGGGAGGCGGAAGCAGGAGGATGGAAAGTTTAAGCCCAGCTCAGGCAGTTTAGCAGCTTAAGCAAGTTCATGTCCGAGAATAAAAGTAAAGGCCGGGATCTGCGCTCAGTGCCCAGGGTGCAGTCCTGAGTACCACACACACAAAGGAGATGCAGAGCTGGGCACAGTGGTGCATGCGGGTCACTCCAGCCCGCCTGGAGGCTGAGGCAGGAGGGTTGAGAGGTCGGGGCCGGAGTCAAGCCGGGGCCCACTGGGAAGTGTCCTCACGTTCTTTTTCCCTCAGGACCAGGCGTGAACTACTCGGGGTGTCAGATCACGTGGGCAAAGTTCTGCAAGGTAGGTGAAGGCGCAGCCCCTTGGGGCGCAGGGCCCGCGTGGGTGGCCGGCCAGCGGTGACGCCCCTGTCCCCGCGCAGGAGAACATGGCAGGCAAGGGCTTCTCCTTCTGGGTGTGGCTGGACAACATCATCGACCTGGTGAAGAAGTACATCCTGGCGCTGTGGAACGAGGGGTAGGCCCGCTGGGCGGCGGCGGTGGAGGGGACACGCCGGCCCTGCCTGCGCCCCTGACCCTGCCGCCCCGCGCCAGGTACATCATGGGCTTCATCAGCAAGGAGCGGGAGCGCGCCATCCTCAGCACCAAGCCGCCCGGCACCTTCCTGCTGCGCTTCAGCGAGAGCAGCAAGGAGGGCGGCGTCACCTTCACCTGGGTGGAGAAGGACATAAGCGGTGAGCGCCCCCTGGCGGGCCTGGGCTCGTCCACTCACCATTGGCCGCGTGCACAGCGGCTGCCTGCTGGGCAGCCTTTGGAGGGCAGCGCACACCTGTCCTCCCAGCGCTCCGGAGGCCGTGGCAGGAGGGTCTCTGTGCGAGGCTGAGGCCAGCCTGGGCCACCTAGTGAGCTGGAGGCCAGCCTGGGCCACCTAGTGAGCTCGAGGCCAGCCTGGGCCACCTAGTGAGCTGGAGGCCAGCCTGGGACACCTAGTGAGCTGGAGGCCAGCCTGGGACACCTAGTGAGCTGGAGGCCAGCCTGGGCCACCTAGTGAGCTCGAGGCCAGCCTGGGACACCTAGTGAGCTGGAGGCCAGCCTGGGACACCTAGTGAGCTGGAGGCCAGCCTGGGACACCTAGTGAGCTCGAGGCCAGCCTGGGACACCTAGTGAGCTCGAGGCCAGCCAGGGCCACCTAGTGAGAAAGCAAACCGAAGAAGCCACCCCAGACCTTCCCATGCGGCTGGCCCCTGGCATCCGTCTTGCCCCGGTTTTCTCCAAGCTGACCCAGCAGCCCGTTGTCCTTTCTTCCAGGCAAAACTCAGATCCAGTCGGTGGAGCCCTACACCAAGCAACAGCTGAACAACATGTCATTTGCGGAGATCATCATGGGCTATAAGATCATGGATGCCACCAACATCCTGGTGTCCCCACTGGTCTACTTGTACCCGGACATCCCCAAGGAGGAGGCCTTCGGGAAGTACTGCCGGCCCGAGAGCCAGGAGCACCCGGAAGCAGACCCAGGTAGTTGTTGGCTTTCCGTTTGCGGCACTACTTCTTGGGAAAAAGTTGGGTAGTGCAGGGTCCACGGAGGGGCGCAGACACGGTGCTGCACACCTGGAGAGGCGTGCTGGGAGGGCCTGTGCTGGGCCCAGGCTGCAGGGGCGCGCACGCACGGCCCGGTGAGCCAGTGGGCCCAGGCTGCAGGGGGCGCGCACGCACGGCCGGGTGAGCCAGTGGGCCCAGGCTGCAGGGGCGCGCACGCATGGCCCGGTGAGCCAGTAGGGCTCCGCCAGCGCCTGCCTGTCCAGCCAGTCCTCCCGGCTTCTGTCTGCAACACAGCGCCCCTTTGGGCTCAGCTTCTCAGGAGGGAGGGCAGGACGGGTCGAGACCTGCAGCTGCCGCCTGTCCCCAGCCTCTGTTCTGGCTCTGTGTTTGCCCTCATGGCAGGAGACTTTCGCCCACTTCCTGTGGGGTCCTTATCTCTCCACGCACCTTGCTTTCAGTTAGGGGCTCTGTTTATCGGCTTGCACGGCCTATTCCTGCTCTGGAGGACGAGTGCAAGGCCCCAGGAGGAGGGCCCTTGCCGCAGGGACAGCCCTGGTGCCCAGCAGGTGTGGGTGGCAAGAAGGGAACATGTGCCCGCACAAGGTGCTTGCCCGTTGGGGCTCCTTGTGAGCGGGAGCAGGGTGCTTCCTGTCTGCCTGGGTGGCAAGTGCTTCCTGCTGCAAGCTCGTTGGCAGCTCCAGGAGCTGCCCCGCCCCCGCCCCAGCCTTCCCCAGTGCCCAGGTCCCTGCCCCCTGCCCCCAGCCAGGCTGCGCCTGTCCGCTGTGCTGCCTTCCTTCTGTCCCCAGTGTTCTATCCTGGCCAGGCTGTTGTCCCCATCTGTGGAGAGGGACTCCTCTGTCCAGTCGGGGCCCGAGTGGGTAGATTTGTGTGACCTGGGACCCTGCCTCTGCAGTCTCTTCTGCTTCTCAGCCATGTGGGTCAGTTTCCCGGCCCGTGCAGGCCTTGGTGGCCCTCAACAGCCTGCTTCTCAGTGCCTCCTCACACCTACATCCACACTGTGACTCGGTTTTCCCAGAAGTCCCATGCTTCACTGCTGTACTTTTGTCTGTCGCCGTTCACGGGCCTGCAACTTAGATTCAGCTCGGAAACCCATCTGTCTCCACCCCTCATTCTGGGCCCTGCTTGTACGCTTGCGATTGGTATTGGGTACACTGCCTCTTAAAGTATACCTTCGTTTTTCCTTTGCTTTTTTGTTTTATTTTTTAAGATATAATTTATTTATTTGCTACAGGTCTTGCTCTGCAGCTTGAACTCATAGCGTTTCTCCTGTCTCAGCCTCCCCAGCACTGGGATTACAGGCGTGTGCCACCGTGCCCCGTTTCAGTGGCCAGGGCCAGCACAGCGCGGGCTACTGGGTGTTAAGCCTGGGTCCTTGTGCTCACTTTGGCAGCACATATACTAAAATTGGAACCTGGATCCTTGCTCTTGCCAGGCAGGTGCTTAGACCACTGAGCTATCTCCCCAGCCCTCCTTTGGTTTTTGACACAAGGTTTCACTGTGGAGCCCAGGCTGGCGTTAGACTCACAGGGATCCTCCTGCCTCAGCCCCGAGTACTGGAATCACCACACCTGGCAACTTTTTGCTTTCTTTTTTAAATTTTTTGTTTTGAGACAGGGTCTCACCAAGTTGCTAAATTGCCCAGGCTGGGCTGGAACTTGGTCTCCCTCCTGCCTCAGCCTCCTGGAGTGCCGGAAGCACAGGCAGGACTGCGTCTGTGTGGTGCCTTCCTCCATCCATCCAGGTGCTAGGGGACAGGAGTGAAGACCCTTATCTGTCCACGTGTGCTCCTTCGGGTTCCAGCTTGGTAGCATTGGGGTGGGACAGCATGTCAGGTCCACGCGGGGCCAGGGTGGAGGCCCCAGTGCCTGGAGCCATTAGACGTCCACAGGGTCAAAGGAAAGGGCGGGCACGGGCCAGTGGGGACAGGTGTCTGTAGCTTGGGCGCTGGGAAGCTGTGGAAAGGCGAGCTGCCAGTGCACACCAGGCGGCTGGGTGGGGCTCATGGCCCCACCAGTGAGCGCGGCGTTTTCCTTGCAGGTGCCGCCCCATACCTGAAGACCAAGTTCATCTGTGTGACCCCGTAAGTGGCTCCCCTTCCCGCTGTCACCTGCACTGCGTCCTAAGCCTCCATCCCGGAAGCAGGGGGTGGAGCGCCTGGAGCAGCTGTGTGTACAAGCCTGAGGCTCTCTGATTCTGTTAGCCTGGAGCCCGACAGCACGCGCGTGCATGTGTGCGTGTGCGTGCATGCATGCATGTGCGTGCATGCGTGTCTCCCTCCACTGTGTCTTGTCAACCCGGCCCCTCCTGCGCCCCCGTTTCCACAGAACGACCTGCAGCAATACCATTGACCTGCCGATGTCCCCCCGCACTCTAGATTCCTTGATGCAGTTTGGAAATAACAGTGAAGGTGCCGAGCCCTCGGCAGGAGGGCAGTTCGGTGAGTGCGCCTCCATCCCCACTGGGGTTCTGGCCTGCACACAGTGTTGTGACTGAAGAGCAGGAGCCACCCCTTGCACAGGAGCAGCGAGGTCAGGTTTTGGCTTGAGGCAGGTCTTGCAGGTCTTGTGGCCCAGGCTGGCCTCAGTCGCATTGCCATCCTCCTGCCTCAGCCTCCTGAGTGCTGGGCTGACGGGCACCACCACACCTGGCTGTGGAGGGGCTCCGGAGCGTGCTCCCCAGTGGGAGCAGAACATGAGGGTGGAGGGTAAATTTCCTACCGCCCCATCAAATACAGGAGATCTCCCAGCGTGTAAGGAAATATATTTATGTAGTCTTAGAAATGTGGTGGGCTTTTGATGTCCCAACCTTGGGGCCAGAGACACTTCAGGCACCTACAGTCCCATGTAGCCAGGTGGCTGTCACATGGGGCAGCATCAGATCCTTCTGTGGTTGAGGGAACCAGGATGAGTCAGGGTGGGTGGGAGACCCAGTCCTTCCTGGGACCAAGGCCTTGTTGGGAACATGGGAGTCTGGGCCTTTGTGTGACTCAGGCTGGCCTCAAGCGCCGAGATCCTCCTGCCTCGGCCTCCTGCGTGCTGGGATTGCAGGCGCGCATCCCAGGCCCTGTGTGGAAGTCTGGCTGGCTGCACCCTGCAGGGTCAGGGGCTGATGCGCTGTTGCTCTTCCTCAGAGACCCTCACGTTTGACATGGAGCTGACCTCGGAGTGTGCTACCTCGCCCATGTGAGCCGTGCGAGGATCCGTGAGGAGGCGGAAGCAGCCCGCCCTCCATGCCCTCGAGCTGTCAGACCCCAGAGCATCTCCTCGCCTTGTGGTTCCAGATTTTTTTCACTCTCCTACTTCTGCTATCTTTGAGCATCTGGCACTTTCTGAGACTGATGCAGCCACGGGGTGGTGCGGGTGACAAGCTCGTTACCTCCCAGGCTGTGCCCAGACTGCAGCAGGGACATGGCGGTGGCCATGAGACCAGAGGAGTGTGCCAGTGCTGCTGCTGGCCCCGCGCTCCTCCCTCCCTCCCTCCCTCCCTCCCTCCTGGCTGCTCCTTCGGGTTTGTCATTCGCCAAGTGCCTCCGGTGGCGGCTGCTTCCGCCTGTGTCCCTTGGAGCTGGGCCTCGGGTGCCTGCTGCTGCACCTTGCCTTCCCGTTAGCTCGCTGGTGTCCAGGTAGAGGCCACAGTGTCCACCCTGGGTTCCTTGTGAATGGAAAGTGGCCAAGGGCAAAAGGACTGGGACACCCTCCCCGCCCTTCAAAGGAGACAGACTGCTCCCGCAGAGCCGGCCCTTGGGGACCCGGAAGCCAAGCTGGGTGCAGCTTGGGTTTCTAGCTAGAGCGGCTCCAGTGGGCTCGCCTTCCTGGGCGCTGCCCAGCCACCTTTGCCCCGAGGCTTCTCCCCAACTCTGCCAGCCAGAGCCCCTCAGCCCCTGTCACTTGGCTTTGGTTCCACCTGGCATGTCCTGTCCTGGTTGTGCTTTAGGAATCCCCGTGCCAGCATCTCTGGGAGGGCAAGGCCGATGCCATTAGGGACGCGGGGCCCAGTGTGTGGCCCTGCTCAGACTGCACCCCTTCCTCTCACACCTGAGGAGCCCCAGGGTCCAGCAGACGCTGGCCCGGCTTGAGGGCCAGGCGCACCCCTCCCGTGTCCCCATGGTCAGCACGTTACTGTGCGCCAGGGACACAACCGTGGGCGAGGAGAGCTGAGGCGTGGCTGGCCCTGTCCTCGTGCTGTTTCTGGGCCAGGAGGGGCGCCCGGGAGCTGCAGTGGCAAGGGAAGGAGCCTGCCCGGCCTTAGGTCGCCACAGGTGCGTTTGCAGGTGACCTCGCGCAGGGCCTGAGAGGAGTGGGGAGCACAGTCCCAGCGGCTCCCCTGCTGTGCGCGTCCAGCCGGCTGCTTCTGCGCTGTGGTCTGTAAGCTGCTGCCCGGCTGCCTTGATTCCACTGTACACTTCCTTGTGTAAAAATTTATATTATTGTGTTTTGTTTTTTTTTTTTGTATATTGCTGTATCTAATTTCCAGAAATAAAAGTTATACGGAACCATCAGACAGCCTGCCGGCCTGTTTGCACTGTGTGCATGCGAGCCCTTTAACTGGCCAGTGGGACAGTGCCTTGGGCGCCAGCAGGGGTCGCCCTAGCTGCCAGCCTCCTGGTGAGGGGTCCGGGAGCGGCTGGGGTCACTGTCCCCTGCGCCCTGTGGGGTCCGATAAGCCCCCACACGGATGCAGACCCCATGAGGCCCTGCCCCTCCCCTTTATCAGCCTCCGCCTGCGCCAGGCCCTGGAAACTCGGAGCCCCGCCCCCTCCCGCACCCCACGGCCCTGGAGGCGGAGATAGGCCGCCCCTTGCTTCCTTTGGGGAGCTGACGGCTGCGAGGCCTGCTTTGCTCCTCCCGGCCGGGCCCCTTGCTCTCCAGCTTTG